CTCTTGGTGGAGTTTGGTGCCCTTCCTGACTCTCGTGGTCCCGGGGACTCCTCATTCTCTTCTGCACCAGCCTCTTCTCCCCGGGCTCCTGTGCTGGCTTCCCTCTGCCTGTGCTCTGACGGCCAGGCCCTTTCCTCCTCCTGCCTGCCCTCCCTGAGCTCCCCCCGCCTTTGGCTGTGACTTCCTAGTACAGATCTGCAGCCCATACTGAGCTCCTGGCTCACTGAGCCCCTCATCACCGCCTTGGTATTTCCACAGAGATGTCTAACAGGCGTCCCCGCACGGGGCTAGGTGTGAACGGAGCACCTCATGCCCTTCCTCAAATGCACACCCCACCCTCCTCCATCTCTTGAGACAGCATCACCACCCACCAGTTGCTCAAACTCCGAACTTTAGGTCCGCCTGCGACTCCTCCCATTCCCTCATTACCGTGTCTGATCTGTCAGGAGGTCCTGTCAGGTGTACCCCCCAGATATGACCTGACTCCACCCTCCTCTCCATCAACACTGACCCTCCCTCCTTGACCTGCTCCAAGAGCCTCCCTTTGCATTCCCTGTGCCCCACTCCCCGGGGACAGCACATGTGCTTCCCGGGGTGAAGCCCCTCTGAGCCTCAGGCTGCTCTTGGAATAACCCCCAACTCCTCACCGTGGTCTGAGCCCCTGGATTACCTGCCTCCCCGCCACCTCTCATCCAGATTATTTTAGTTTATTCACCGTTTTAGTTTATTCATTTAGTTTATTCACAGGCCTGGAAGGGAAGATGGCTACAAATCAGAGTGCTGCTAATGGCTCGCATCTTTTAAAATGGTTTTGTGAGGATGTATCCGGGAGTCCTTCCACCCTCGCTGCCTGCTGCTCGTCCCCACGTCCGTCCTGGCTGGTCCCTGTCCTGCCCCTCACGTGTCATCTCGGATGGGCTCCCCCTGACGCTCTGCCCCAGGGAGAGCAGGGCTGTGGTTTGAGGCCCACAGCACAGGTGAGGGAGGACAGGAAGCCATCCACATTGGCCCAAAGAAGGACCTGGAATTCAAACCACGGTGCCCTTTAGATCCTGACCTAACCTCCACTGTCTCCAGCAACTCAAGGCCTTTTTCCGAGCCTCTGGGAACTGCGTGTTACAGATGTCAAGAGCTGGTCATCACGTCAGCTGGGGCCTGGGAATGTCAGCCACACCCACTTGAGGAGATGCGGGCAGCAGCGCCAGGAGCTGGGTGAACACTGGGCTGGTGCTGCTAGCCAGCGTGCCGGGGCTGCCTTTTCTTTTTCTTTTTAAATTGATTTTTTACAGAGTGGAAGGGAGAGGGATAGAGAGTTAGAGACATCGATGAGACAGAAACATTGATCAGCTGCCTCCTGCACACCCCCTACTGGGGATGTGCTTGCAACCAAGGTACATGCCCTTGACCGGAATGGAAGCCAGGACCCTTCCGTCTGCTGGCCGATGCTCTATCCACTGAGCCAAACCAGTTAGGGCACGGGGGCCTTCTTTCCTCTGGGTCCCCGGGGCTGCCTGCCTGCAGTCCTGTGCCAGCCACTGTGAGGTCCTCCATTTATTCACAAGCCTGAAGGGGAAAATGGCTACAAGTCAGAGTGCTGCTAATGGCTTGCATCTTTGAAAGTGATTTTGTGAGGACATATCGGGGAGAAAGTGGGCCGTGGCTCAAAGCTTTGGGCCAGGGAGGCTGCCCACTGCTCTGTGGGAAGCCACTGAGAGTATACACAGGTGGATCGACACTGACAAGACGTTTTTCCTCTTGCTCCTTGGTTTTCTCATCCCTAAAGTGGGGGAATAAGCCCGCTCTGTCTGACTCTCAGGCTGTTGGGGGAAGTTAGTAGTGTCACTACGGTGGATTGGCGCCTTCTCTGGGCCACACATCATGTGGCCCAGATTCTTGTCTCCTCCTCACCATGGTCCTGTGAGGAGGGGGCGGGGTGCTGTCATTGTTTCCCTCCTCCCACGTGGTAGCTGAGGGGTAGAGAAGCTCGGTGAGCTCTGCCCAGGATCAGGGAGCGGGTGAGGGGTGCGGAGAGGAAGCGGCTCTGTCGGGCTCAGCCGGCCTGGCCTGCTTTTCTGAGGGTGGGCAGACACCACCTGTGCGCCATCCTCCATGAGAGAAATAGTTCTCATTGTTCAGGGGATGACCTTGAGGCTGAGTGAAGTGAGGTGACCTGCCCCAGCAAGGGGTACATCCTGAATTTGCAGTCAGCTCGGTCTGAAGTTCTTTGAAAGATCTGAAAAGGGAGAACTGGTAAAGCCAGGGGTTTCTACACCTGTCAGGTCCTAAGAAACTAACAGTGGGTATTTTTAAAGGCCTAATGGAAATCACACAATAGGGTTGCCCTGACCTTTTTAATAGTTACTTTTGGCTGGTATTATGTCATCCCAAGGGAGTGATAGTCGTCATCTTGCACATAAGAATCTCTGCCTGAGTGTGGATAGCACAGAAACGGTTCTGGGGTCCATACAGAAGAGATCATCCTACCCACAGGAAAGTATCGTGTGAGACCTTTCCCAACTCCGGGATCACATTCCTCAGTCTTCCTCCTCCCACGGTCACTCAGATGTCAATGTCACCTCCTCATCGGTGGGGCAGGCCCCCGGTGCCCTAGGACACACTGGGCACACAGCATCCTGCTACAGAGCCTCTTTGTTAGAGGAGTGATGGCACACGCTGCTCTTCTGCCTCTGAGAGCTCCTAACTCCATGCTAGTCTCCCAGGAGAGGAGGGTGGACATCCGTCTTTATTTTTCTGCCCCATATCCAATGCCCTCTCCTTCAGTACTCCACCCACGATGGATTTTGGAAGGCTGGCCTGGGGGCATGCTGGGCCTCGGCTCCAGTGGTCAGATGTACAATACATGGCAGCTGGTGCTGCTGCAGAATCCACCCTGGAGGCAGTGACAGCAGCTGCGTTCGGTTTCCAAGGGTAGAGGCAGTGGCCTCAGGGCCTGTGGCTCCCGTATCCAGTGTCCAGGTGGTGCTGCGACCTGTGGTATCCTCGTGGCCTATGGTGTGAAATGGGCTCCGGTCTTGCTCATTTCCTGAGTCTGGTCCTCCAGCTTTTCTGGGATCCTGGGACATGCCAGAGACCTTTGAGCAAACTCTCAATTTACGTCAGCCAAAGTGTATTTCTGTTGCGTTTTAAATATATGAGTGTGTGTGTGTGTGTGTGTGTGTGTGTGTGTGTGTGTGTGTACTAGAGGCCCGGTGCATGGGATTTGTGCACTGATGGGAGGCGTGGCCTGCGGGGATCGGCCAGCTGTGGGGGTGCCGCTCATCCCCATTAGCTGAGCGCCCATGGACCGGCCCTCTGAGTGGCTGCTCCCTGGTCCAGCATCTTTCGTGGAGCTGGAGGACTTGCCTCTCCAGGGGACCTGGTCAGGTCCAGGTCCAGGGACAGTAGCACTGAGAGGCAGTGGAGTAGGCCTCAGTCCCACGGCGGCCACAAACTTGCCTCCCAGCCTGCTAGCCCTGTGATGATGCTGCGTGGCCTGAGGGCATCCAGAGGAGGCGGCAGGGAATGAGGAGGAGGAGCCTGGGACAAGGAGCCCAGGTACCTGCCCATAAGCTCGGGGTTTGCAGTGGGAGCAGCGGCTCATCCTGGTCAGCCAAGCGGCACTCCCACTGTGGTAGTACACTGACCCACCAAGGGGGCAGCTCTTGCATTGAGCGTCTGCCCCCTGGTGGTCAGTGCATGTCATAGAGATTGGTCAACTGGTCATTTTGGTTATTCCGCTGTTTGGTAGCTGGGTTTTTATTATATAGGATACACACACACACACACACACACACACACGTGTGTGTGTGTGTATTCTTTTAAAAATATATATTTTTTTATTGATTTCAGAGAGGAAGAGAGAGATAGAAACATTAATGTTGAGAGAGAGTCTACATGCCCCCAATTGGGGATCAAGCCCGCAACCTGGGCATGTGCCCTTGACCGGAATTGAACCTGGGACCCTTCAGTCGGGAGTATGACGCCCTATCCACAGAGCCAAACCAGCCAGGGCTATATATTCTTTTCTAATTGATTTCAGAGAGAAGGAGAGAGAGGGAGAGAAACATCAATGATGAGAGAGCCATTTGATTGGCTGCCTCTTGCATGCCCCCTACTGGGAATCAAACCCAGGCACGTGCCCTGACTGGGAATAAAACCATGACCTCCTGGTTCATAGGGTGACGTTCAACCCCTGAGCCACATGGGCTGGGTGAGCACTCTGTTGCTTTTTAAAGCTAAGGGTCAGACTTGTATAGAGCTGCTGTTCTGTAGTTATCCTAGATTTTATTCCTCCCCAGGCCCCTGTCTGCACTGCCTCACCACCCGAGCACCCTCCCCGGGCCACAGAACTTACGAGAACCCTGAGCTGAGAGCCCTAGGTTAGGTGGGTGGCAGGACCACCGGCTTCAGCGTCTCCTTTCATTGGCTGATCCAGACTCCACTCTGGAAGGCCGGTGTGGGTGGTAAAGGAACCAGCGGGAGATGGGAGACGTTGGTGCCTCCGAGCCCTCTTCAGTGCCAGAGAGGCTGTGCTGGCCTGAGGTCAGGCATCCGGGCGGGCGGGCAGCCATGGGCCTGAAGCCTGCAGGTTGTCTGCGGTCTGATCCAGGAGCTCGGCCGGGAAGCCTGGAATCTAGCACCGCAGAGTAAGCAGGTAGAGCCTTGGAAAGGAGAAATGTGCCCCCCTCTCCTGGGAGTGGAGGCAGCGAGGTGAGTGCTTTTGCAGTGATGGTGTTTCTGTGGAACCCAGCCGCCCGAGGGGCTGAGAGGCACTCTCTCAGCACAACCATGACCCGTTCACAGCACAGGTGGGGTGGCGGTGTTACCCTGGTGTATCCAGCTCCTCGCCCGCCCACACTTAGGGGGGCTGATGTTAACCCTCTGCTGTTCTTAACTCCTTACGAGCTGCAGATAGTTTCCCTAGCTTAGCATTTGCCTTTACTTTTCCGATTTCTCATTCCTTTCGTTCCATTCGTTCTTGACCACTGTTCTCTCTGCAGCAGGTCCTGTGCCTTGGCCGTGGAGTGTGGCCCTTGCTTCCGAGCCCTCTCTGGACCCGCCCTCCTCGCACCCCTGGGAAAGATGCGGCAGCTCAAGGGGAAGCCCAAGAAGGAGACGTCCAAGGACAAGAAGGAGCGGAAGCAGGCCATGCAGGAGGCCCGGCAGCAGATCACCACGGTGGTGCTGCCCACGCTGGCCGTGGTGGTGCTGCTGATCGTGGTGTTCGTGTACGTGGCCACGCGCCCCACCGTCACCGAGTGAGCCCTGCGGCGGCGGGGACACTGCCTGCGTCCTCAGAGATCTTCCCGAAGCTGAGCTCCGAGCAGGGGCACCTACCCGTCTTCTCTGCTCTTTGACTTGATTCAAGTTTTTTCCACTTTCCTTGGGAGGGAATAAGGGAGCGTTTTATCCAGTGAATGTGCCATACACCTTATGGTCCACTTCATGTGCCTTTCAGACTTCGAAGCGGGGGTGTGTGTGTGTGTGTGTTTTCTCTCCTAAACCCATGTGCAGGCCCCCCCCCCCCCCCCACCCGGCGAGAGGAGGGGCGTCGGGATCACGAATGCGTCGGAATCAGTGCTCACCCCCCCTCCCCCCCATTGTGTCAAACATGACTCTTTTCCCACCCGTGTCCACGATTTCCAAAGGGACTGTATTTCTTCTCTGTGCTTAATGTGATTTTAAAGATGTCGAATCAAAAGTGAAATATTTATTTTTCGAATAAAGGAGATGATAGCCTTTAACCACTGGGTGTGTGTCTGGTTTTGCCAGCGGCGCTGTCTGTCCTGGGGCTCCCTCGGGCTGATCCCTGCACACTTTCTCCCCTCCCACCCTCCACCCCCCCCCCCCTGCTGTGAATCACTTTGTGCTTTTTGACCAGATCATTTTAAGACGGAGAGGATCTGGCGAGGGTGTGTTAATTGGTCTGTCTCAGCAAAATAAGAGTTCTAATTGGAGTGGTGCTTTTTATAGCATGCAGCAAACAGCGAGGAAGATGCGGACCTGGAGGGGAAGGTCAGGCTGGTGAAAGGTCATCCTGCTGAAAGGATGCACATTGTTGGGTGGGCCGCTGAGTGTCTGATGCAGGTTGGTCATGCTGGCAGGGGGGCTGAGTTGTATCCTAAAGACATGGGTAGCTCTGTCCTGATTCCTGACAGAGCACCATTGCTGATTACAGAGAGATGGGGAGCCGGGCGTGGGGGGTGGTGGGGAGCTGTTCTAATCTCTGAGGCTGCACAATGCGCTCACAGACGGCCAGGCTATTCCTGAGAACCTGGGGCCTCTCTGAGTGAGTCTCAGGAAGACAAAGCAGCTGTTGAAAGGACAGACTCCCGCTGATGCTCGGAGATCCTGGGCCCGGCAGGGCTGACGGGGCTCCTGGGCCTCCCAGTGGGAGACTCCGTGCCACCCTGCCCTCAAGTGCCCGTGGCCCTGGAAGGAGAATTACTGAAATGAATGGCACATGCAGAAGCTGGTCGCATAACGTTCCTCTTAGGTTCCTATTTCCATCCCCTTTCTGCGGTTCTCAGGAGCCTCAGGGCTTGTTGGTTTCATTCAGCAACATACACAGAAACAGCATACTGCGGTATCCGGCAGGGACCCACTGACCTGCTTCCGCAAACCCCACCCTGGGCCACTCCTGCTCATCCATCTGGATGGCCTCGCACCCCCAGACACTCAGGTGCACACCATGTGGGATTATTTTGTAGCAGAACAGGAGATGGGACTTAAACCCAGCCGGTCTGGTTTCAGAGTTCACGCTCTTCAGCATGAAGATCTACTACCTCTTTGTAACTGACTTCCTCCACTTCGCTCTCCCAGTCGGCAGAAATCTTTCCTGCCCGGGTGTGAGCGAACTCTGTTGTTTGGGGATTATGTATTCCCAAATTTTCATGGGTTTGTCATGGGCCCACGACCCCCTCTGGCGGATGGACGATCCCAGGCTTGACTGGCAGCAAGCACACTCCTGACGTCACCCTGACTCACTGTGCACACACGCATCTTCCCCTCGGTCCAGGCCCTTCCCCCAGGGATCTGCAAGGAATGGACCGGTGGCTCCCTGGGGAGTGTGAAACGGCAGCTTCCTGGTGAAGCTGCCCAAATTATATGACTTTCCTGTTATTAATAACGAGCTAATTACAGTGGTGTCAACATCACGCCTAGTGCATTTTAGGTGCTCAATAGCCATTCCCTCCCTTCTTGTCTGTGTATTCAGCTCACAGAACATGCATCCAGGCCTGCCTCCCGAGGCTTTACCTACCAGGCTCACACCACACCACACCACACCACACACACACACACCACACACCACACCACACCACACCACACCACACCACACACCACACACCACACACCACACCGCACCGCACCGCACCACACCACACCACACCACACCACACACACACCACACCACACCACACACACACCACACCACACACCGCACCGCACCACACCACACCACACACACACCACACCACACCACACCACACCACACCACACCACACCACACCACACCACACACACACACCACACACCACACCACACACACACACCGCACCACACCACACACCACACCACACCACACCACACACCACACACCACACACCACACCACACCACACACCACACACCACACCACACACCACACCACACACACACACCACACCACACACACACCACACACACACACCACACACACACACACCACTCCACACCACACCACACCACACACCACACCACACACACACCACACACACACACCACACACACACACACCACACCACACCACACCACACCACACCACACCACACCATACCACGCCACACATTGTATAATATAGAACCTTTAGGTGCCTCTGGGTCTTATTTTCACTTCCTGTTTTTCCTTCATTGTCCATCAGGAGGCCTAGGGGATTTGAACTGGATTTCCAGAAGGCAATTACTGGATGGGCTTGGTGAAAGCAGGCTGAAAATGGGCATTTCAAAGGAATACAACTTGGACATGAGCCACCTCCTGGCAGGGACCAAATGCCAGTTCACTGTGGTCTTGCTGGGGGCAGTGTAACAGTTCTCAGGGTAAACAGTAGTCCCATGTGGATGGGCTGTAATTTTTTGTTTTGAGACATTAGCTTTCAAATTGGTCCCAGTTATTCAGTGGCTTCAAGCAAAACTGAATAATTTACTAGCAGTTTCACATGAAGTCATGCTGGGTTCTGCTGTAGGATACGGGGCTCTTGGCTTTCAGAGTCCTCATTACCGAGCCTAATGTTTCTTGAAGAACAAATTCCAAAAGAGGAATCAGGTTAGAAACAGGAATAGAAACCATTGTCATTCATGTAAAAGGCGCCACCTGATGTGTTTGTGTATGTGCTGATTCGGAAGCCAGCAGCTTAATTTCTACCCTTGCAGTTCAAAGACAAGAGCAACACACACGCCCAGCATTCCTTCCTGCATCCCTCCTGAAGCAGCAGGAAGGAACCTGCAGCCAGACTCGCCTGTAAACTGAGATGGTAACATCTGCCTCGGGGTTGTTAGAAGGATTAAAGAGACGACTGTTCATCTCTTTTCCCCAAAACTCACTACAGGAAGAAAAAGAAGGAAATCTCTTGAAATTGTAGCTTTTAGATGTCTTTGTGGAAGTCTGCCATCATATGCATGTGTATGTATGTCTCACACACACACACACACACACACACACACACTGTTGTTCTGTATTGAACATGTCCCATGTGATCTGACACCTGAAGGTGTGTCTCTTACTTTGAATGAAATTTATTTTTTAGGAACCGTGTCTAATTCTGCTGTGAACAATATTTATCACAGACTTGCTAAGGCTTTAAAGTGAGATACAGAATCTTAGGATCAGGGAAGCATGAGTCGCTTCCTCTCAGTCCTTCCAGAATGTGTGTACTAGAGCTGCATGAGGGTTTGCTCGTCTGGATTCCTGTCCTGCTCTCCCCCATGCTTCAGAGTGAGTTTTGCCTCCCTCTATCTGGCCTGATTTTTGTTTGTGTGTGTGTGTGTGTGTGTGGGTCTTTTTGTTCTTCAATAGCCAGTCTGTCCTCGGCTACCAGTATTCTGAGTATTTTCTCGTCATTCTGCAAGCATAAGTCTCTGACGTTGGTATATTTCAGTGGGGTCATCTGTATTATCCCCCTGCCTGCCAGTTCTGTGGAAAGGAGCCAGTCTTTTAAAAAAGCAATTAATCCCTTGAGCTATTGGGTAATATAGCAAGAAATGGAGAGCAGAATGAACATGTGGATGCTCAGGCATGCCATGATGAAGGCTCACTCCTTTGTCGTTCCTTCCCTGTGGTTATATGAAGGTTGTCTGTCTTGGGGAACCCCCTCGCCCCCCACAGCCCCAGCACTGAAACTTTCCCCCTGGCCATGGTCGTGCTCCTGATTGTGGGGAATACTCCTTTTTAATACAAGGCACAGCTGGCCACACACTGAACACCTCATCTCTTTCAGAATGCATATTAAGCCTTTGGGGATTAGGCCTAACTCCCAGGCATAACTCATTTGGACTGGAATAAATTAACTCCCACTGTGAAATTCTTTTGCAGTCTCTCTACCTTGAAACCCCTCTACCTCTAGTTGCACTACTAGCTCAGTGGTGGGTCTGCCCATCTGTCATCCACCCAGATTCTCCAGAGCCATTGAAAAGATGGGTTGGGTTTTAAAAGATGTAGCAATATACACTGAGTGGCCAGATTATTATGACCACCTGATTTGTGTAGACAAATTAGCCTTACACTGCATTAACCCTACACTGCATTCTATGGGATATGGAAACCGAGGCCTGTTCGATCACCTTTGCTGTCTGCAGTTACCAAGATAAAACGTCTCCAATTCGCACAGGAACACAAGGATTGGACAGTCGAGCATTGGAAAAAGGTCGTGTGGTCTGATGAATCACGTTTCCAGATGCATTGTGAAGATGGCAGAGTGAGAATTTTGCAGAAACAGCATGAAACCATGCACCTCACATACATTGAGTACAGCCCTTCAAGCTGGTGGGGGCAGTGTTATGGTTTGGAGCATGTTTTCCTGGCATGATTTGGGGCCTTTAATTCGTGTGGAACAATGTCTGAATAGCACAACATACCTAAGTATCGTTGCTAATCAAGTTCATCCTATCATGTTGATGGCGTATCCCAATGGAGATGACTTCTTCCAACAAGACAATGTGCCATGCCATGGTGCTCATATTGTGCAGGAGTGGTTTCAAGAACAGGAGGGAGATTTTACCTTGCTTAGGTGGCCCCACAATCACTGGCTCTCAATCCAGTTGAGCATTTGTGGGACAAAGTTAGAGCCATCAGGTAGCTGGTTGCACAACCATCAAATCTCACAGAACTTGACAGTGCTATTCATCAGGCATGGTGTCAGATTCAGCTCATGAATTGGAAGTGAATAAAGGATACATCTTTAGAAAACCCGAACATCATCAAAGAGATCTGACTCATAAATGTCTAATTATGTCCCTAAAAATGTTTCCTTTAAGCTCTAGAGATATCATAAAAATTATTTATTTAATGTTTGTCTACTTCCTCTAAATTATGAGCTTTATGAGATGGGAAGGGACCTTGTCTGTCTCATTATCTCTATTTCCCCCTGGCTAATAGGTGACCAATAAATATTTTTGAATAAGTGAAAGAACACATTCATGAAAGAAAAATACAAATGGCCAGTAAACCTATGGTCAGGAAAAAAGCAACTTTATAAACAAAGATATTTCCAT